AGATACTCTTGATAACTCATCAAAAACAAAGACGCATTGTGGTGAAACGAGAATGTGAAATTACGATCATGTACGCTGACTTGTGCTCAATTCTGATGTACAAAACCAAGGACTAAATTCAAATTGTTATCGAGACAAACAGCGCATAGAGGCAAAATTTCATGCAGGAAGTTTGGTAGACTAAATAGGAGCGATCTAGCGACCACATGGGGGAAAAATACAAATTCCAACTTTCACTATTCTTAACGTTTTTGCAAATAAGTCCTTTGGTAGATATGTTGCATTGAAGGATACACCCAAACTGGCGGGCCTCGTATGCTTCGGAACTCCAAGTCCCTGAGCTTAGGTAACTGGTTTCCATCNCATCACTGAACAGCAGATCTTCGTGACTATGGGGTTCGCCCTATCTACTGTTCATCACACGAGTGTGTAATAATAGTAAAAATAGATTAAAATTAGTTGCTTGACGAGGAGCGTCATAAGCTGGAGGGCTGTATTGGATAAGGAATAACACGCAATGATTGCAGCTTGACTGGTTCCTTTGTGAAAAAACCGGAAGCAAATGCGAAAAGCAGTGATAACAATTTTGAACTATTCAGCGACAAAATAGATGGAGGGAGAAATAGTCACCGTGTTGACATAAAGAAGATAGGCTAGGAAACAAATCACAATGGTTTGCATCAGTCAAACCACTTTCATCACATAGTGAAAAAACCAGCGAAGTTCTGATCACTACCGTGGCACCGAAACGAAGAATTGCAGAGGGGGAGGTGCATTACCATTAATTAGGCAGTAGATTGGTGGTCGAATAAACTCGGAGAGAGAGAAAGTGGGAAGACAAAAACTGGAGCAAAAACTCTGCTACACTGATTGGGGACACAAATAAAACGAATTACGCGACAACAACAAAAAAGCGCGGAAGAGGACGAACGAAAGGACGGAACTGAACCAAGTTTCCAGCCTTCCACGGTGCTGGCTGGCTGGACAACTAAACCACTTACATGAACAACATGATCGGATGTATCATCGGCTGAAGTACGACTACTGGTAGCGCATTCGTTTCGACTCAAATTCGACGATGAATCATCATCCATGCAAACAGGCCCAGCCCCAGTCGGAGGTGAAGGTGAACCGGGGAAAACGCCGTTAATTTTCCGCAATGGTGATTCATATGATCGTGAGGGAGAAATTCGTCGAGAGCGTTTGTCCACTACCATGGATCCAATGGACAGAACGGACAGATTGTCGGGAGAAACAGACGCACGAGTAGCACTTCGCGCAGTGGCAAAAACCGCCGCCGTAGGGCGACCTGGACGACTGAAACTGTCTGTCACACCGAACGTGGGATCATGCGGAGAGAAATTGGGCGCGGTACGTACCTTGGGTTAGAAAAAGACAATGAACAGCTAATTGGCTTGGTTTCGCCATAAGTGAGAATTCCGCTTCTCTCTAGTGGAAAAAAGTAGATCAGGGTAGTAAGGACCTCAAGTTCGGATCGTATGAATCAAAAATAGCCACTGATCCAAGTATCTTAGGACGACTGTTGATATGGCCATACGGCGTTTGTTGATTCGTAGATAGTTTCGTGAGGTAAGGGATGGGAAAGATTGGAGGTGGTTTGGTGAAATAGTACATGGTCGGAACGATCACGTCCGGGTCCTTGATCGCAGGTCTATTGCAAACTATGGAGATAACTTGTGTATGAATCATGATTGCATAACTGGGAGAACACTCTAGCGCTCGCAATCTACGAAGCTCATAGTTCGAATCCAGTAACATAGGGGGCCCTGACCGTGAAACTATATCTTAATTCATTCACTTCTGTCAAGTTGTATTCGAAACCCAACTGTCCCGATCACGTTTTTAAGTTGTTTTTCCTATCGCTCATGTCAGGCATTAAGAGCATCCATCCTTAAATCGACCACTTGAAATTTTTGACAGTACCTCACACCTAAATTTTTGTTTGCAACTCCCTGCATGTGGTATAATTCACTCGCCAATCTGGACTGTTCAAAGTTATTTACCTCATTATGACAAACGCTGATATCTGCATCCTAGCAGATTTCGATACCCACCACAGTAGATAGTTAGAAATAATGAGCACGTGTCACCGATAAGTAAATTCTTGTCCACAATATCGATCTAGTGAAAGTCTACACGTTCTGGATCTTATTCAGAACTCCAGAGCTTAACTCGACTCTTGTTTTGTTCAAACTCATTTTTAGCCGCGTTAGCCTTGTGTGCACGGCTGAATTGCGTTCCATCTTTGAGTATTTCAACTGGGTATGAGGTTGAGCATTGTGTTTCCCTTGTAGATCACGTGTGGCACGCATTCAGCTGCCATACTCTTCTGGTCGCTCTATTTACTATTAGCATAGAACACAATTTGCGCCCACTGCCTCAAATCGCCAGACGGTCGAAGTTGAAAATATTCCGTCCCCCACCTCGGGCTACGCTACTCATCATCATCTCTTTTTCTTTTTCTACCGGAGAACAGTCACATATTCTGAAGTATCCTCTACTGTTTACCATCTTTTGTACAACTCGTCCACTACTTTAAACTATCAAGCAGAGCATCTACAAATTATTTTACATGAAAATTAGTCCATGGACCGTTGATTGGAGAATTCATCTTTTCCGTAGCACCTTAGTTTCATCAGGTAAGCGAATGTTAAATGTTGCGCTGGTGGAGAGTACAGAAATCTATCAGGTCGTCCTAAAAGCATGAGGTTTGTGGTGAAGACATCAGACTGGAATCAGTGAATCGAACAGAAATCTCATAGAAAAGATATACTGAATTGTGTGTGACGAATCTCGTGTACGTTCGCTCAGTATGTATTAAAAGTAGTCGAGGTTTATAAAGATGTAAAGCTTGTGATCGGTTACATCTAGGCAAATTCAGGCATCAGACGGGAATTACACGCACTGATTAAATAATAGGTAACCGGATACGCATTGCTAACGACCCCGAACACGGTTGAAACAGCCGCACACCGAGTGTTCCCTTAAAACTTTCAGTTTCCCGTTTATAAATAAATAAATACGTCTTTGGTGTATTTCTTTACGCGTCCTTACAGGCATTTACATTTTCGACTAAAATGTCAATGTTGCAAACTCGTTTAAACTGCGTTGAAGAGAAACCATAGGATCATTAGATTATCATGAAGTTTGGTTGTCTGAAGTCAGATCAGGTGGATTGAACCAGTGAAAATCTGACAGTTTCGTGAATTAACCCAATTCCCTACCTTATTGTATGCAACAATAAAACTTTTAGAAAGCCGTTCCTCCGGTATATGGAAGGGTTTATTCGGTGGATGCCTGATTCAGAGCTAGGCAAACTACTTATATTTCTCTGGGAATCTTGTGTAGAAATACCTGGGTGGTGGAAAAAGGCACAGCAGCTTAGGTGAAACCCATAACACAACACCTATCCACATCCGTGTGACCGCGCATATGCACTCAGTGAGCATCGTCTGGATTCGCTCAAAAGTACACAGGAATCAATCGCACTTAATATCGGATACACATAAAGTTACATGCCTCGGGCCTAACCGGGCACGAACCAGGCCCATCTAGTAGGCAACACAGGATGAACCGATTTTAGACGGTTGGCAATCAATATACTGTTGCACCAGTAAAATCCATCCGAGTCAAACTGACCACAGACGACCGATATCGCATGATTGACTCTATTGGTCATTGTTTCGACCGAAATGTATAGTTTTCAGCTGCGACGGTGAGTTCAGCGCAGTCTCCACATTGGACTTGATCGCTTCCATATAGTCAACATACTTTTATGCAGGTAGCGATAAATTAGAGAGCGGTCTCTAACTGATTTCGTGCGTTTAAAAAAATGTATCGCAGATCGCAATGCGATCGAGAACAAACACTATACTGACTAGAAAGAATCATATTTCTTGAGCTACGACAGAGAAATAGTGAATATATGAACACCCAAGGGACATATAGAAGAGTGTTTTAAGTCAGAATACTTCCATATTTTGTCTGTTGTTGACATGAAAAAGACGTTGGAAAAGTGCCATCAATTGAAAATCTGCCACATCCCGTGAATCTGTTTCTGGTGTATAGGCATTCAGTTCAGTTTTCAGTTTGTACAACCATCAGCCATGCACTTTCGTGCGCCGGTTTTAGTTGCTATCTTTTGGCTGCTCATTTGGATGAACATTAGAAGAAGGGAACGTTGAAAGAAGAATCGAAGAGAAAATTGAGAATCTCAGTGAACTAATGTAGCAAAGAAATTGAGCAGATGCACGAACGCCACTGTTAACGACACCCAGCCATATCGCTCAGTGTCTCTAACCATCGGTTACGATCATCCCGA